ATAATATCACAGAGCTATTGTTTTAATGTTTGTTTTTTGTATATGCTCTGCAATATCAAAGAGATTTATGAATGACTAATATAATGATCTTTTTCTTCCATGGAAACTGATTGTTCTCTCTCCAGTGAGGTCTTGATGACAAAAATATTGGGCATAAAAATTAAATGTCCTTTATGTGCAGCTTTATCCCTTTCCCACAGTTAAGGAGCTCCATGTGTTTTTCTGTTTCTCCCTTCAGGTCTCCATCTGCTCCTTCGAGACCCAACAATTATCCTCAATAAATGAATGGAAGCGTGCTGCTGTTGTCACCAGAGCCATCTGATTGGTTCAGACTGTGAGAAAATTCATCCCGACCAAAACCCACACATTTATATGGAGATGTGGGACTATAAATAGGAGGGATGAAGGCAGTAGTGATCAGATTCTCTCTATAGAGACCCAACTGTGGCGCCTACAACCACTGCCACAATGACCAACTCTAAGGAGCACTGAGTTGGCTCTGAACCACAAGGTAGGACAGATTCTTTTAAAGTTCTTTACTATTTGGGCTTTTTTTATGTAAATAACAAAAGCACATTCCAGGATAGGTTTACTAATGATTTTTCTCTTGTTTCTACAGCTCAGAAAGCCTCTTGTGGAAAAGTTACGAAGAGAGGGAATCAAAAGCAGCATCGAGCAGCTCAACTCTCTCCTGGGTCCAGAGTTCCTCAAACAGCAGCCAGAGTCCAAACTGGAGAAAGCAGACATCCTGGAGATGACAGTTTGTTTCCTGACCAAGCTGCTGCAGCAGAACCAACAGCAGAAAAAACAGCTGAACCGACTTAAAAACCTCAAGGCTTGTTTTGATGCCAATGAGGCTGAAGTTTCTCTGAGCTCCTCAGTTCAGACTAAAGATGAAGATCCAGATCCTAAAGTTCTATGGAGGCCTTGGTAGATGCCTACTGAATCTCTACTAGGCTGACTAAAGCTGAAAGAAGATCATATTGGTCAAATATTACTAGCTTCTTTTAATAATGTATATATGTTTTGTTTCTTTTTTGAAAATTACATTTCTTTTTTTCATTTTAAGAAAGACAAGATTTTATAATGCATGTTGCATAAAATTTTACTAATTGAGTAGCAATTTCTTGTTTCTGTGCTAACACTAGCGGTAATAATATTGATATGATTCATTGTGTTCTTACCAATGAAAAAGACCTTATTGGTGAAAGATTGTTGAATTACAACAGACACGTTGTTGTAATGTCTTTTTTACAGACGTGATTGACTGTTTCTACAGAAGAATTGCTCCTATCTAGGGAGTCTCTTTATTGACTTGTTTTCAATGTAAGCTATACATTTCTTTTGAAATAACTAACAGCACTGATGCATGTTGCATGAAGTAATACTGTTTGCCAATTAATTATGATTAATTGAATTCAGTAATTGTAAAGAATCGTGATCTGTTTCAAGGTCAAATGATTGGTGTACTTTACTTTTTTAGAAAGTCTAAAGTTGTTTCGTTACACGTTTTCTAAAATGTCAAAGAATACGGGTAGTAAGTTCTGTAAGTTGATAATCTTTTATAAAGATATTTCACTCTGAGTACGCTGTGCCTTGTAAAACCTACAAGTTATTTGTTTGATGATTCAACAGATTTATCTGAGACCTCACCACTTCTGCTGGTTAAGTTAATAAATGATAAATGAAAAATTAAAAATAAAGTGTGTTGTTATATTTCTGACAACTTTATTTGTAAATAAACAGGTTCTCTGGAAACCTGATCCTGAAATGATGCTTCAAATTATACTACTCGTCAACTCAGCTTCACTTTCACAGTCAATGTCAGTATCAGTATCACATTGACTGTGATACTGGGCACCTTGAAATGCCTTGCTGCTGAAATGTGCTATGCAAATAAAATTTTATTGATTGATTGATTGATCACTCATGGGTGTTCCGTATAATCTAAAAATAGCCAGAATTTGACACAAAAAACAAACAAAAAAGAAAACCCTGTGGAGTTTGCACAAAGTATGCCCTAAATGAACTGATATTTTTCACAGACACTGGATGAAATATATATGACCACTTAAGATGTAAACTTTAAAAAAAAATTAACCCAACTTAATTTACTTTATATGTTAGTGAAGTAATAACCTTCCAGATTTTTCACAAAAGTTGATATTGAGTTTCATTAGGAGAGACTGGACTGGTTTCAGGGTTGTGTCCTAGATGTGAAAACTTTGATAAATGAATGTGACACAGGTGAGTAAATGACTGCTGTGAAAGAGCAGCAAACTGAGGCACTATTAATTTAAAAGTCGAGAATAAAATTAAACATAAACTCATAGTTCAACAATATATTTTTGAAAATCAGACTTAATGAAATTATTTAACCTGGAAAACTGACTAATATTTATGTGCAGCACTCAGTTATCAGAAATACTTCTTCAGGTTAACAGTTCATGACTAACATAAACAGAACCAAATTATTTTGATTCTGGAAAAATATTTATTTGCCGTGTTTAAAGTTTTATTTACTCCTATTGAGCCAACTAGTGGGGTCCTTTCCCTCCAGATGGTAGCCCTCTGTTCCTATAGCAACACCCAGCCAGCATCTGTCTCGGAAACCTCTTTGTGCTCCATTGACCACAGCACAGCAAAAAGAAAGTCTAGCTGCTCCTTGCGCTGCCTGCAAGGCACGTGCCGCTTCGCATGTCTTGTTATCAGAGATCTCTACAGCACAAAGATCAAAGCATGGTTCAAACCTGCAACAGTAACCAACATTTAGGATCATTTGATACTGAAACACAGGGTAAACATGAAATTCATAGAATGTTAATTGTCCTTTGTGGGAGTTTGTAAATGTTGATACCAATGCTGCATTGTTTAACAAGTTTAACAATTACTTTGTGCTTGTTGCTGCAGCTCAGAAAGCAGCAACACCAAAAACATTTGAAGAATGTCAACGAGATGTAGTCTGATAAAGCTTACTGTGAGCTTCACAGTCCTGAACAACACCAACAAAGCATCAATTTCGCATGGCCCTCTGGAGGCCATGGTAGAAAACTGCAGGCAAGTGTTTTCTGTCATACTTTTTCAAAATATTTCCTTAGAGAAATGAAAAAAGTAATGTCTCTCAGTTTAAGAAAGAAATCACCCTGACCTGCAACAGCAGGAAAAAAAAAAGTTATTACTGACAGTAACATTATTGTAACAGTAGTTACCCTTTCATTGTGATTTGTTTCAGTTTTAGAAACTATAAATTAATGTTCTTTTCACACGTTTATCTGAGCACATTTGAATGATCTATTTTAAGATCAGACTCAAGGTTATTTTACTTCTCATACTGCAACGGTTGATAAGAAAAGATGTTGGTCTTTCTTTACTTGCTATATTATTTGATTGAAGTTCAATATTGCATGTGGTTCCTTCCAAAAATGAATTTAATTCATGCATTTGGATAGTTGTGATATCCATTCATTTTGTGTGGCAATGACTTCCAAACAACAAATCATAGATGTTCCTTATTTTGACATGACAGTCATTTTATCTGATTAATAGTTTTATATATAAATAACTTACAAATCTGGGGCATGTACAGAAATGCATGTTCTGTATAAACTAAAACACAGCAACATCACTGACATTGTTGGCGACAGGAGGTTAATAATGACATGTCTCAGATGGGCACACATAGTGGAAGTAGTGAAAGGACATAGTGTGGGAAACCAGAATAAAGCTACTCACATAGCCCCTCAGGGACAATAGAAATAGACCCTGACCTTTGCCCTGAAGGGATGGAAGTTAAATGGGAACGTGTCCCTTAAGCAAGCGATGTTGTTCCACTCTTACTGTCACAATTAATGCTACCAGCTTTTAACATTTTCGCCATGTAAAATATGTTAATATAGATCTGATAAACTAATTTAGACAGTAAAATATGTTTTCTTAATATGCTGCAATACAGGTAGTGATGAAGATCTGGACATATTGATTGTCCAGCGAATGTGAAATTGTAAAAATGTTTTTAAAAGCAGAACAGAAATACGAGGTATAACTTGCAAATGCTCTTTTTTCCACTAATCCGTTAAATATATCAGTTAAAAGTTTTCCAGCTTCAAATATTTTTTTGTCATTTTAAGAGTTTTCAGAAGTATTTCATATTTGACACACTTCTAAAGCCGACCAATAGGGTTCTTTCCCTCCAGATGGTTGGTGATGTAACATTTTGTTGTTATAGCAACACACAGCTAGCATCTGTCTTAATTTGTGCTGCACAAAACAGGCAGTCAGTGCAGGAATCTCACATCATCCTGCCCTTCACACAGCCTGCTAGGCACGTGTCAAATAAGTTGTCTGTACCTGGATTTTAAGATTTTAAGTTCTATATATTAATTAGATGGAAAAAAAATTATATGTAAGTATTTATTTCTGAGTACAAGTATAATAGACTAAATAGAATAAACTATAAAATTATCTTTCAAAGTACTCTATATGACTCACTTTTTTTTCTCAAAATGACAGTGTTGTTTCTGATCAAATAATTTTTTTAACTCTTTAGAAATTTGACAGTACAGTTTCAGGTTTACAATCAGCTAAAATTTTCTATTTTTTATTTATTTGTCATAACAAATATATATTTTGCTAAAAAACATTATAACTTTTTCTTTTTCTTACATTTAAAGTGCGCACTACATTAAAAGCATTATTCATCCAGATGCATACTGGGCTCATCAGCGTGTGCTCAGTCACAGGTATTGATCTCAGCATCAGGGAGCCCCTCTGCTCCCTCTGCAGGGTCGCCACTTTCCCACATTCAGACAGAGCTCTTTAGTGTGCTCCACCTGCTCCCTCTGAAATCTAACCATTGTCCCTCGAGCAATAATGGGAGCGTGTTGCTGCCCCACATGCCTTATTATCCTGCAGAGCTCTCTGATTGGTTCAGACTGTGGGAAACTCCAGCCAAACCAAGACCCACACATTCAAATGGAGATCTGGGACTATAAATATGAGGGATGAAGCCAGCAGAGATCAGATTCTCTCTACAGAGACTTCTACAGCACAGAGATCCAACCATGGCCCCAGCAATCACTGCAGCAATGGCCAACTCTCAGGAGCATCTGATGCTGAACCACAAGGTAAATATGAAGCTCATATATTAGCTATCCTTCATGAGAGTTTGTGAATTTTATTAGAAATGTTACACAGAAGAATGTGTTTTTAATAACAGCTTTATTTTGTTCCTGCAGCTCAGAAAACCTCAGGTGGAGAAACTACGCAGAGAGCGAATCAACAGCAGCATCGAACAGCTCAAGTCTCTCCTGCTGGGTGCAGAGTTCCTCAAACAGCAGCCAGACTCCAAGTTGGAGAAAGCAGACATCCTGGAGATGACTGTTTGCTTCCTGAGGCAACTGCAGAAGCAGCATCCAGATGTGGTCTCAGGGGCTGTTGAGCTGGGGTATTCCAGATGTGTTCAAGAGGCTGTGCACTTCCTGTCCAAAGATGAAGTGAAGACACAGTCCCAAGGAAGACTCCTGAAGCATTTCAGCATGATGCAGTCTTTCTCCAAGAAGAACTTGAGAAAAGCAGACTTCTCTCCACAGAGCCCAACAGAGCAAGGTAGCGTCAGTAAAGACAAGAATCCGCTCCACAGCCCCCTCTGGAGGCCGTGGTAGACGCCTACAGCATGGAGTTCCCACAAGAGAAACTTAGACCATATTGGTCTAGAAGATACTGGACTAAATTCTTTTTTGAAATCAAATTATTTCTGTTTAATAAGAACATGGTATATATTTTGTAAATGTGTTTATTTTCCAAGATTATATTTCCAGTGAAAATGGCAAAAGCATTGTTTTTGATTTACAAAAGACGAACATACTTTTATGCATTTTTGTATAAAATTTCTATAACTGCACTAGTGATAATGTAGTAATAGGAATCCCAGTAGCATTGATTGTGTTTTGATTATTCATAATCATGTTCTACAGTTTATATGTCCTTTTTTGGAATTATTTGGAAGGAGTGCAACGCTATTCTTTCTTTACAATCCGTTATATGATTGAAACATTTATACTTTGGTTTTAAAAAGATTTTCTTGATTTTGTAATTTTGATTACAAGTTTTCATCAGTAATATTTATTACTATTGGGAAATCATAATTGATCATCTTGATCATGTATCATCAAGTATCTACCTCATTTTTATTTGTATAACTGGTTTACTGCTGGCTTTTGTTTTACAAAATATTTGCTGAACAGTCAGTTTATTTGTGACAGTATTTACATAAAGAAAAACTACATTTGTTGTATTAATGATATGATCTGTTTTAAGGTCAGCTTTTGATATATTTGGTTGATTAAAACCATATTTTCTACTTCTTATACGGAGTGAGTTTCATATGAAACAATGTACTTTGTCTTTTATAAGGACAGATGTTCATTTACTTCTTTGAGTACATGATATTTTAAGTCTACATTTTGTTGTTGATGTATCATCACTAGTTGGAGCTTTAACAATTCAAATTGATCATTGTGCCTTGTTGAATAAACAAATACTACCAGATGAAAAGTTTTCTTCTCATTTTCTGAGATCACCTGTAGAAAATGATACACCTGTGTTTAAATATTTCAGTTCTTTAATGAATATGCAGAACACAATACGCTGTGTTCTGCATATTCATTTCTAATAAATAGTGACTTTGGGGGGAGGGCTGCTGGGGTATCTGGACACCAATGAGGGTAGAATCTAAAATGTAAAAATGTGGAAATTTTTAAATAAAATTCGTTGGTTGAAAAATTATAGTTTATTTATATTATCTACTCATTAAATTGTGGCTTTCCAGAGCACAAAAGTTGAGGATTTTGACATCTGATTTTGTCATCTCTATATATGTACCTTACCTTTTCACACTTATAATCAAGCGATAATGATTCAGTTTTAGTCCCAAAATACTATTAATAAGATACTGTAAACTATTTTAATGTACTCAAGTCAATCCTTCTTATAATCTACATCACTCATCAAAAATCTGTATGAATGCAGTTTTTATCTACATTAATTTTGATGACCAGTGAAAACATTAGCTGTTAAAGCTAAACAATTGTATATTGACTGTAATAGATTCGTTTAGCTGTACTTTGTCATACTTTATTTCACCAATTCAAATGTTGCATCATTTCGGAGCCAGCCAATTGCACTGCTTCCCTCCTGCATGCCTGGTGATGTAATCCAGTTTCTTCAGGAAAACAGAACCAGCATCTGTCACAGGCTGTCCCTTTGTGGTTTGATGATCATAGAGCAGGGAATTAGTGTGGGAAACTGAGACCAGCTTGTTACTCACATGGAAAGGAGGGCACGTGCCGTGAGATAACTGCATGTAGGCCCCAGAAATAATAATTCTCAAAATATTTGTTTAAAAAATCTGAAAAATACAAAGATTTTAAAGCAAAAAATAGTTTAAAATTGTATTCTTTTGACAGAGATAAAGAAAAAATAAATAATTAATGTGAGATATAACCAATAAATAACCAACAAATTAAAACCAACATTTTTTAAATTGTTTTTATTATTATTATTATTATTATTATTATTATTATTATTATTATTATTATTATTATTATTATTATTATTATTCTTTTGGTTCAACAAGAAGTATAATAAAATTATATCAGCCTATCTAAATGAAGGTTTATTTTGAATTTACCTGAAAATTTTGTCATAAACATTATCCCACCACGTGTGAGCTGGGATGAAGGGCGTGTGCTCAGTTCAAGTAATTGATCCCAGCATTAACCAGCAGATAAGCTCTCTCTACAGGGTCACCACCTTCCCACATTCACACAGCGCTTTGTGTGTCGGCTCCATCTGCTCCCCTGAGACCTAAACATAAAGCCCCAGGCAAAGATGACAGCGTGTTGCTGCCACACATGCCATATTGTCTCATTCAGCTCTGTGATTGGCTGAAACTGTGGGAACCTTCATGCAACCAAAGACCCACATTTCTAAATGAGATGTTGGACTGTAAGTCGGAGAAATGAATTCAGAAGGGATCAGGATCTCACTGTAGAGACCTCTACTGCACAGATCTAACATGACAATTACAACCACAACAGCCGTTTTCAAAAAGCACCTCACTCTGAACCAAAAATTAGATTGACAAACTGTAAGAAGTTATTTATTTATTCTGTCTATTTTGTAGTAACATATCCATCCTTGCTGACAACTGCAGAAATAAATGAAGAGCAGCAATTAGCATCTATTGTTCAGAGTTTCTCAAACAGCTGACAAAGTTCTGGTCAGAACCTTTGATCTGAACTCAATACTTCTAACCAACATCAATAAAGGAAAGTATCCATTAGCCATAGCCCGAAAAATCATCATATATCAATATTGTCAATATTGACACCACCACTAAAGAGTCCAGCACATGTAAGAAGCTTAAAACACAACATACTTATGGTTTTGAATGATCAAATTCATATTCCTTTTTTTTTCTGAATAAAAGAAAGTACGTTACTCTAGATTATGCTAGTGTTGCATCTGATTTCGAGATACTGTTGCTATTTCTTGTTCTATGAATGGTAATACACTCAAATTTGTAAGGTGCTTTTACAATTCTGGGGGTTCCGAACCATTTTACAATACAATCAGTCATGTATTCATAGAAACATTCACACTGTGAGGGCTCTGAGTTACTTCTTGCTCTATGTAAACTTCACTGTTAAAATAAAATAAGCTGCAGCAATCAACCATTTATTTTAATAAATATTTTTTTAACATTCTTCATATTACAAAATGAAGCAACAGTGCACATCTAAAATATTTTTGATATACGTTTCTATTTTAGATTTATATCAACAGCTTCCTGAAAGTTATTCACAGCCTCATGGCAACACATTGTACAATGAGAACTTTTCATTTATTGGCTGTCATGTTAAAAGTTAAGGAAGATTTATCCAAAATCGGATCATAATCCTTGTATACATTCAAAGACTCTAGATGCAACTTCCCCAGGAGGACAGCATCTTTTTTTATACATTACTGGATTGTATTAGTTTTTACAAAAACAAGGCTAAAAAAAACCTGATCTTTCTATAACTTCTTTTTCATGGAAATTCAGCTTTCCTACTAGTCCACAGGCAGAAGGTAAAGGTCACTCTTGACAAACTTCAGCAGCATTAGTACAAGCACAAAACCTTTAAACATTGTTAAAGTTGACCATTGCAGTGTTTTTTTTTCCTAATGTAAAATGCTAGCTTTAAAAAGTTTAAAATTTTGGTAAGATATAAGAGATGATTATACCTGAATAATAACAATAAAAAATAGTACATCTAACTTATCTGATCCATGTTTGTACAGTACAATTATTGGACATTGTCTCTTAATATTAATACTACTACTGATAATAATTGTGTGTAACTTTAGTCTTGGTTAAACATTCAAGGCTGTAATAAATTGCTTCTTTTTAACTATTCCTTCACAATTTCAACACAAAATCACTTGAAACTGCCATCCCAACTAGTTTTAATGTGGATTCGCCTTCATAATAATCTTTTCTCCCATTTGTTTGTGTGCTGCGGTACTATCTACACAAAGGTTCACTCAGTTTTCCTATTTTCCCTCCTCTGAGCCAGCACGGCTCCCTGCACAAGGCTGGCTGTGCCCCAGTCACACGCCCTCCTCTTTCACTGCTGCTGGGAGCTGCTGCGACACACGGCTTCCCACACTTCTGTATGCGGCCCGCTCAGCCACACACACAATGGAAGTGTGTCTGGTGCCAACAAAGCCTGAGGAGCCGTTCTCAGGCAAGGAGAGCATAAGAGGCCACTCCACCAACAAACCATCTGCTTTGGCTGCAGTTCACTGCTGGGAAGCTCAGTGGGAAAATAATACATAAAAACTGAAACTGCCATTCAGAAATATGCGGCCTATGTTTTTTCATTAAAAAAAAAAGTTTGAGAAATGCTATGCATCACTTCAATAAGATTGTATTATTCAAAGAGCATATGTTTTCTACATAGCTATCATTTCTACCATTTGTTAATCATTTCTACAGTTAACAGTTTGCCTGGTTCTTATCCTAAGAATTTTATTTTTCACTTGTTTCTTTATATAGTGTTTGTGTTTTTTGTTTAAAGGTCAAAGTCCAGGTTTAAAAATCACTGAAGGAAACAAAATTTTCCCGTGTCACTCTCATGGAAAACACTTTCCCACTGACCTTGCTGATGAGTGGCATGCAGATAAAGCATCCCACCTGTTCTCCATGACAGCCATTAAATTCAGCCTATTGTCTGGAGCTATGAAGCTTCTGATTGGCCAAACTGCAGAGAGAGCATCAGATCGACAGCATAAATGCCGAGCAGAGATGCATAGGAAATCACAGCGATCATCTGAGCCTTTGCAGACAACTGAAGAACTTCCCAACAGAAGAAACAACCCTTGAACATGGCTCTTTACACAGATCTCGCTCTTCAGGACACCATGAAGGAGGAACTCTTCAGGTGAGACAAACTTTTACTTTCTATAACCTGCAAATGTTCAGTTAAACATGGGTTTTTCACCTTTATTCTGCAAAAGTCATTTTCTTAGACTGATGAAAATACTAATAAAAATGTAATTTTGTTTCTCTCAGATGCAAGCTTCACTCGCTGGAGAGGAAATGCTGCACAGGAGTGGAGAAGCTGAAGGCTCTTATTGAGGCCCACCTGCAGAACGGATTCCCTGTTTCAGAAATCTTGGAGAAAACAAAGTCCTTCTTGACCCTGAGGAAAGCCCTGCTGTCTCTCAACGGCTACTCCAAGTACTCCAGAGACATTTTGCGTCTGTTTCCCGATGCAGAGGATGATGTGACTCCACTGTGCTATTAACAAGAATGGACTAGAGAATATCATCAAAGCTGGACTAAGGCTGGTTCATTTTCATAAACTGCAATTTTGCGGTTTCAAAAAAGACATATATTTGTAATAAAATTCTGCTCAGCTGAAAGAAATCTGTCACAAGAAGAGATTAAGTATGGACATTTCAGGAATTTTGTAGAACAGTTTAAGATGTTAATTGAAAAAAAAAAAAAAAAAAAAAAACAGTCTCATCTTTTATCACTGGATTTTGTTGTAGTTTAAACTGTTGCCAGAATAAGATTTTTGGATATAAAGTCACAGTTTAGCGATTATTAACTGTGTAATATCCAACAACTTACTGATGTTGTGCTGCT